CACTGATCTTCCTTCAAAATGTTCTTGGCTTATGTAAAATTTTTATCAACTCCACATGATTGCTGAAGCCTGAAAGATTCATCAAGTTTCTTATTCCCTCTTTAACCTTGTGTGAACTGAGAGGAGTTGTAGTAGGATATAATTTGACTTGTAGAGTCTTTGTTGCTTAGGATTAACCAGGTGAAATAAAAAAATCCTTTGTCAGAGGTGAGTTTCTGGAGCTGTTGGGGGGAGGGGAAGCTTTAAATGCTTTTTTTAATCAAATCTTACCCAGGTTCACCCGAAGCATGTGAAGGAAGCTTTCAGGCTTTTAAACAAGTCCATCATTAGAGTTGAGACTCCTGACATCAATCTGGACCAAGATGATGAACAGCAAATGGAGGATCAAGAGGAGCAAGATGGAGTCAATGGTAAACTACTTGTAGAGAATTTTTTCAAAGGGGAAGGTGCTTCCAGCCTTTTACCTTTTTTGAGTATGCTTCTTTTCGGTTTCTCACCTGTTTCTCATCTAAGGACTCTTGACTTCTACTCTTAACTCCCTTATTTCTTCAGCCTCCTTGTGGGTCCCCTCACCTGATTGATCAATAAAACACTTTTCAGTGGATTAGAGTATTAAACAGTTAAAAGATGTTACAGATTTAAACCTGAGCATGTATCCAAACAGGTGAAGCAGAAGCTCCAGCTGGGGTCAGTGGTGTAGTGAATGGGATCAATGGCCATTCTGAGGATGTGAACAAGGATGTTGCACCCAAAGCTTCTCTTAGACTGGGCTTCACTGAGTATCAGCGAATTTCTAATCTCCTGGTGCTGCACCTTAGGAAAGCAGAGGAAGGTAAGTATTTTTTTATTAAAAAGATGGCAGACCCTGAGTTCAGGGAGCAACTGTTACTGCATCTCATGATGTTGCATTTGGGATTTGCACTCCTGCTGAGACCAAAATTGTTAGATCAGGTGTGAACCTGTACACGTGGCAAAACTACATCTGATGATACAGATAAAACTCCTAGCTCTGGTTCTTCAGTCTTTTATTGAAACCCAGGAAGTCAAGTAGCATGTCAACAGAGCAGATCCAGGAAAGAATTTGTAGCATTTACTGGTTTAACCTAACTAGAAGAGTCAGCAGCAGTGAAAATTGTAGCAAGACCTTTAATGTGTGCCAGCAGCCACAGCCTAAAATATATACTTAACCAAATAGCTGCAATGTGCCAAACGGCTGCTTCATTCTTGAGAAGATGAAATATTTCTCTTGCAATGAGGCTGTTGTGAAATGCAGCAGTTGTCTCATATTATAAACCAATGCTACAAAATTTTGGAAGGGTGTGGAGACCACAGTACATGTTCAAAATGCTGAGTACATGTAGAAGGATGACTTCTTCAGCGTTGTGTGACAGTGATTTTATTTTGCCCTCACAGCATACTTGTATGAGACCTTACAACTGCTTTTTCTTGAAGCTGAAGGCTGAGGTGGTAGCTAGGCTGCTCACTTGATTTGTAAGGTACTTGGATGTATAGACCTGAAAGCTTCAATTCTCAGTCTGAATGTCTCTAATTAAACCATAATACAACAGCCTCCTGTACAAAACATGATGTTTCAAGAAACAGAAGAAAGTTTGAAAAAAAGCATGAAGTTTGAAAAAAAGCATCTTAAAAAGCATGTTTCTCTTTTCAGCGTTGTAAATGTTAACATATAAATGCTTTTCTCTTACACTTTGAATGGTATCTTACTGATGCTGTATTTATGCAAATTATTTCTTTGCAGAAGAGGATGATTCGTCGTTAAAGAAGAGTGAACTTATTAATTGGTATCTAAAGGAAATTGAATCTGAAATAGAATCCGAAGAAGAACTAATAAATAAAAAGAAGATCATCGAGAGAGTCATTCACCGACTGACACATTATGTATGTATAGAAATGTGTGGATAATGAAAAAGGGTTTTAACTTACATGGTGCAGTGATTCATTTTTAATAGAATACTTTCCTAATTTGAGAAACGTGTTTTGTGCTTTTGTGTTATTGACCGATGCAGTATAAATACCTTATTTGTTTAATGCCTGCTAAAATAGAGAAAACGCTGAAATAAGTTAGAGATATGTACAAGTAAAAATTGAAACCGCCATCTTATGTCCTTATAGAAGTGGAAGTGATATTTTTCTGTATTTCTATGGTGTTAGCTATACATTAGGATACAGCAATACAAAAATTGAGTTTATTCAATGGATGACTAAATCATGGGGGCACTAGGGCAGTTTGGAGGACAAAGTATGAAACTATAAAGTACGTCTCACTTTTAAAGACACAAACCCACTTAGATTGAAGTGTTCCCAGAAAGCATACAATATGTAAGAGTTTTCCACTGAACATAATTGTTAAGATCAGGAACCTGTTAAAGAGGGAGTTCACAATTAAAAGGGCTAAATAATTTATCAGCAAGAGCTGCTACTAAAATAAAAAGGAGATGCCTTTCAAAAAGTGCAAACAAACCTTTCTGTTCTTGTTTGAATACAAATTTTTGTCTGTTGCAGGACCACATTCTGATAGAACTGTCCCAGTCAGGACTGAGAGGATCCAAAGAAGAGGAGACTTTTGATGAAGATCCATACCTGGTTGTCAACCCAAATTATCTGCTGGAAGACTAAGGGCTGAACTGGATTGTAGAGCTGCCTGGTTACTTGTTGGAAAATGCATTCTTTGCTTGCAAGGGTTGCTATACTATAGCTAATATCCTCAATTCCTATGAATGCTCTACTGTGGAATGTGCCAGTGTGCGGTTAGTAATACATGATTGCTCATTGACACTGAGTATACCTGGAAAGTTTTTAAAGAAATTACACATATATTAGGTTTGTCACTAATTCTGGGTTTCAGTGCCATCATCCAGATGATAAGGAGTATCATGGAGATGCTTCTGTTTTAAGCAAGAGGAATTTTGCATTGTTCTTCTATTGTATTTAGTAGAATTTCTACGCTATCGTTTTTTACTCTTTTTCTTATTAACATAAATAAAAGATCATAAAATGTCTGGAGATGTCTGGGGGTGGATTTGTTGTCACTTACATGTGGGATTGCTATTTTCTATGCTTATGCTTTGAGGCTGAAAAAATAGTGATGTAAATGTTTAATGCCTTAAGAAAGATTACATTTCTTGGGTGACAGATGCTAGTTTTTATGAAGATTTTTACCTTCCATTAATGGGTAATGAGAAACTCTGATTACTTCTCTTTTTTTTTAGATGGACTAAAGGTGTGTATGCTCATATTGCATATGTAAAATAGAAAATTGAAAATAGCCAAGCCCAAAGCAAAGCTTAAGGTCAGGAGGTCAGAAACCCTCATCTTGATGAATGTCTGGACTTGTAAGTGAATTGAAAACTGCCATCATTTGTGAGGGAAATTTAAGACTGTATATGTAAACTTGTTTGTAGATTTTTCTATAAGAAATTTTTACTTAAATTTCTGTTGTAATCACTTATTTGCTGTATGGTATGTGATTATTAAATAATCTATTAAAAATTAAAATACCTGAATATTTCTCTTAGCCTGATACCGGAACCTAAGACACATTTTCTAATAGCATGAAAGATACCAAAGCTGTGTATTTTAAGTATAAATAGTGTGAAATAACTATTTCTGAAGCAGGTCCAGAAATGAAGCTGGTTCCTAAGAGAGTTGTCTTTTTCCTGTTAGTCTCTCCCAGCTTTGGAGAAATAGGCCTTAGTCTAACTAAGCATATAATTAAGGATAACAGTTATATTTAAGGAATGGAAAGAATCATAAATATTTATTACCACTAACTCTGGCTGCAGTAACTTCACTATTTTTTCATAAACTGCATCTTGGCAAATGCTATATTTTGTTAAAAATCGCAGCCCACCTGCAACAACAGTTTGATGTTATTCTGTATTGCTCATTTACTTTCAAAATAAGGACAGGAAGATGTTTGTGCTTCATTAGGTATTTCTCCCTTCCCTCCCTGCACTTTTAGTTTGATAATAAATACTCTTCACATGGGAGAAAGTATTTTTCCTGCTTCTCTTTCCCCAGTTCTACGTATGTGATTCATAGGCTAGAAGGGGTGTTTTCTTTCTGAGTTTACACTACTTTACTGAATAAGCAGCAGGTGGTGCTGTAAAGTTCCTGTTCAAACTTGTTATTCGAACATGGGGTGGGAGAAGAGAGTAACTAGAGAGTTGTTCAGAACACTAAGCACGTTTCAGCAGTGTTTTTCAGCATTTCAAGAATTCCTAAAAAAAGAAAAGTCTGGGAATCAACCACGGTCAAAGTACACAAATTGCAATCCCTGTGTAAGCTATGATTTGCTATTTGAGTAACAGGAAATGTTTAGAGATGTTTTCTACTATAACTTAAAGATAATACTGCTTGACAGAGCAAATAAGTTGCCTAGATGATTCCAGGTAAGTTGTAGATAAAAAGCCAGTTATTAAACTTGGAGATGGAACTGATTTTTCAATATAGTTATGTAGAATTTTGTGTTTAGTTGATCTAAACATGGTCTGTATTTTGGCAACATGTTCTCAGCTCTTCAGTTTTGCTGTATTCGAACGTGGAAAAGTCGAGTTACCTCTTCCCGGCAGCAGTTCAGGTAAGTGATCTACCTCAGGTATATCTCCACCCTGCTGAGAGTGCATAGGTTTTCAAGGCTGAAGGAAGGAGTACTTTGGAAAGCAATAAAATGATATTCGAGTTCCTTGATGTCATTGGGACGCACATTGTGGCTGCTGCCTGAATTCACGTAGTACCCACTTTTCCAAGTGGGAGAGCTACCACATCTCAGATTTCCTTTATGCACCCAAGAATTAGAGCACAACCTGCATCTTGCGATCCTGCGCTCTTTGAGCTGTGATGAAAAGCATTCTCTATTTATTTTATCTTCCCCCAAAATGGAGGCAGTATCAGCACATGCGAGTTGATGTCAAGTTTAAAGGAGAAACTGAACATTTCAGAAAATGTTTCCACATGATCTTATTTCAACTTATTGGCAGTGTTTTTTGTATTCATCCATTTGTGCATCTGTTGACTAAAGGTCCTGATCTGTTACCATTTGTTACCATATCTAGTGTCAGCTAATTCTGGGAACATTTATCAGTGAAATAGATAATTTCAGTTAAATATTACTTGTACTGTAATATAAGTAGTGTGGGCTAAGTTTCTGAAGCAGATGCAGAAATGGAGCAGATGTGTAAAATAGTCTACTTCTTTCTATTAGTCTCTCTCAGCCTTGGGACAGATGGGAAATTTGCTCAGGGTTTTATCGCCATTGCAGGACCTCTACCCAGTGAGTTTGTAAATAGATTGTATTTGCAAGACCAAGTCCTATCCAAGAAAGGTCAGGGCTCTGCTGTGGCTGAAGCCCATGGTTACCTTTGCCAGCAAGATCTTGTGGCTTCCGAGCTGCCAAAGTACTTCTCCCGCCTTCGTGAGATCGGGGTGACACACTACAAAGTCTTCCTTCCATGGGCACACATTCTTCCCAAGGGGGATGCCAGGAAGCCGGATGAAGCTCAAGTGCAGTGCTACCAGAAGCTGCTTGAGACCCTGGTTGCCACAGAGCTCAAGGGAGTGGTAGTTCTGCATCACCAGCATGTCCCTGGTGCTGTGGCTGCACAGGCCATGGGTTGCAAAGCCAATGCTTTTGCTGACCTTTTTGTGGAATATGCTGAGTTCAGCTTCCGTGTTTTTGGGGACCTGGTTGATGTGTGGCTCACCTTCAGCGACCTGCCAGATGTCCTTAAAAGCCTGCCTTATGCTGACCCCCAGTACCGAGCCTGGGCCCTAGCTACAGCTCATCAAAGAGCTTACACCATCTACCATGAGAAATATGCGCCAGCAGGTAAGGAGAATGTGGAGAGGGATTGTTTCTATGCAACCTTTTCACAAACATTTTGTGATGGGATAAAATGGCAACTGCTACATCCAATCTTTGTGTGAATATGCTATCAATGGTTTCAGAATTACACAGAAATCCTTGAATAACAGTCCTTCAAATCCCTTATGTTGATAATTGGTTTATAATTCACTGGTAATTGCATTTTACTGGAAATTTTTGCCAAAGTAGCTGGGGACAATATACATGTGTATGTGTGCATATTTATAGTTAATCTTTTAAGCATCAGGGAAGCTTTAAATAGCCTCCAGTTAATTTGAGCAGCAGAAACCAGTACTTCAAACCGACACATTATAATACTTCTCTATGCTTTTTCTCAGTTTTTCACAGTTGTCCATGTGCTCTTAATTTAAAGACCAGCAGATGCACCTGATTAACTGTTCATGTAACAACAAATGTGTTGAATAATAAATGTGGGATGGAGACTTATGAAGAGTCTTTGATCCCTGCCCAGTCGTCTCATTTTTAAAACCTTATTTCAATGTCATTGAAAACTGGGATTGCAATTGCTGCCATTTTAGCTAAGAGGGGAAGATCATGCCATCAGTCAGCAGCTGTGCTATAATCTGTTATGTGTGATGGATGCAGGCTTTTTCATTAACTTATGATGCGCTCCAAAGGAATACAGCTTTGGAGGTCAAGATCTAGCTGAAGAGTCAGGTCAAATTTAACTATCAGCCTTTCTCCCAAAGCATGGAAATCTTTGCAAATTTATTGATAAAATCCACTTAAATAAAACTGATCATGGTTTAAAATTATGTTTCTCATTTAATCAAAGGGAAGTTATTTAACTTTAAAAAGTTGATTGAAAAACTTAAAGCAACATGAAACACAGTATTTACTTTGTTGCTTAAAATGACAATTACCTCCACCCATCAGTTGCAAATTATTTTAAAATTACTCAAATCCAGCCTTACTCTATTTTTTTGTGTGTGTGCATGTATGATGACAAAGTCATAATAATCTGTTTTGTAGATAAGAAAGTATTTTTGTGTATTTCTTCCTGACCCACAGAGGAAAGACTAAAAAATTCCTAAATGTACCTCAGACCATGAAGAAACAAGGCACAGTAAGTCTCCTGTGAGACAGCAGTAGTGTGAGGAAATCTGCAATGTCCTTTGTTTGACTTTCCTCATTGCAGACACTGGGGTTTTAAAGCAATTAAATCTTAACTGTGCCTGCGTTACACAGAGCAAGAGAATTTCACCTCTCCTGTGGATGCCTGGGATATTCCAACCTGCTGTCGTCTGAGGAGTGCCTCCTTCAGGGCTGGAGTTCTTCTATCCCAGGCAGATAACCAGTAGAGCTGGCAGAGTCATTATTTACAATAAAAATAAATAATTTATTTTTAGTTCTTACATTTGTCAGGAATACTTCGCCGTACAGCTCACACTACCTGGTGATAGCCCTAAGAAGTTGTCCAGCTTTGCTCCCACAACATGTCCCCCCAGGTTCCCAGCATCCAGCACAATGGATATAAAAAGTAACCACTGTAGAGCCACCTCAAAGGCATGAAAATAAAAGATATTCCTTATAATTATGCATGGAGTGGAAGAGCACCCACTGGAGAGCTGTATTCAGATCCACCTTCCTGCAGCCAACAGTGCTCAGATGAGCAGTCATGATAAGATTTAGTGATAAAGACTCCTTGAACTCTGCCTTTGAATTCCTACCATCTTCAAATCTCCTTTAAAATCGTAGTGGGTATCTGAAATCAACCACCTATGGCACTGTCTGATGTTCCACATCTTTAAAAATTTCCAACTGTTTTTAAAATAACTGAATGAAGTTTTTTATTTTCCCTTATCATCCTACTAAGGGACTGCCTCTTTCTTTTTCAAGATGGAAAGCTGTCCATTGCCTTAGGAATAGGTCATGCCTTGGATAGCGCTTCATCAGAATTGCTTTCAGTTTCTCTTCAGGTAATACCTCAATAGAAATTATTTCCAGAATTGTATGAATTTGATTTGATTTGACCTGTTTTTGTATGTATGGGATCAAGTGACCTGTGGCAAATTAAAATTTTAGCAAGTTGACCAACTGACCAATTTGTTCAATTTTACTTATTTGATTAGTTCACTGATTTTAAAAATGACTTCAGCATCCTTTCTTGGCTAGTAAGCACTGATTAAAATATATGGAGACATATTTGCTCTCATCATTGGCAACTTTAGCAGTATCCATGCTTAAATGACAAGGTGTTTGCAAAAAGTGTAGCCATTGTAATTTTCTTTGCAAGTCTACTTAAAGCACCACCAAAGGAATAAATACTTTATTTGAAATAACTATTTTAAAAATCTGCCTTATTATGTTAAAACACAGACTGAGCTGTGCTAAAAGTGATCTAGCTGATGGGTATAGCATGAGGAGACCATAATCTCTACAAAGATCATGACATCCTTTCTATAAAGACCAAACTCATTGTTTGTAGTTGTCTTCACCTGGAGGATGTTGATGTAGGATAAAGTGAACAAATGACAGTACAGGATTTTTGCTTTTATTCACAATCCTTCAAAATTTAGTAATATGGTAAACAATGTTGTAGGCATGCCGTTGCAAGGATGCCAGCAAGGTGTGGTTTGTAGGGAGAGGGAAAGGTGTATTAGGTGGGCTGACTAAATGAGAAGAAAACCTTGGACTGAAAAATAAGCTGAAAGTTTATCAGGTTTTTATTTTCCAGCTTCATCAGATGGCACAATCTATTCCCTTGAACTTGATGACTGTTAGTGGGATAATCCTTGTAGTTTGGAATGGTTAAATATTTCTGCAGTGGACTTTCCCCAGAGGATTATTGATAAGGCCTATCTAAATCACATACTTGCAAAGGTTTCTCTGTCTGATTAATCATAGACACTCTTACTAATTAAAAAAAAACCTAAAATATTAACATTAAATTCATAAAATGCCCTCAAAATTTCACTTAGCTGTTTAAATTTTACTTTGTTCAGAAAGATAATGCATCTTCCTGTACAGTATCCAGTTTGTACTCGTCATATTGTCCAGAGCTCCCCTATAGCTGTATGTGTTCTTCAGCAACATAGCTTTATCGGACATTTCACAATTTTATATGCTTTAATACCTTCAAAAAATACATTTTATTTTAGGATGATTCTTTTCCTTTTCTTGTTTCCAGGATTCAGTAGACTTTCTGTCTCTCAGCCTCCAGTATGGTTGTGGAAACAAAACAGATTTCTACAAGAAATTGAACAAATTCCAGGTAACAGTATGAATTGTGTTAAATTATAGCAGCAGATGACCATAAATATAAGGGGGATTTCATGTTTCTTGATGCATGTCTAAACACTTCCAATTTGCTGCAAGAGGTCAGACAACAGCTAAACTAGGGAACAGCTTCATAGTGTTCGCTTGCTTCTCTGTTGTTATTCTGACTTAAAAATGGGTGTTCAACAGTGCTGAAAAGGATCGTCTTGGTCAGTACTCATTACTGATGCGTTAACAACTAGAATGGCATCATTGTTTTGTCCAGGTCTGAAAAATCTCTCTCACATGGTGTTTTAGAAGCTGCTAATACCTATGCACTTCGACACTATTGTATGCCAGCCTTCTGCAGTAGTGCCACCAAACTTCACAACTCCAACTCAGTAAAGGCAGTGCTAGAAATGTTCATGAAGATGAGTTTGTGAAAGGATTAGATCACAGCAACAATGTCAGTTATAGGCTAGTACCTAATATTAAATCTGTGGTAGTTTAATAGATGAGCTGCATCATTAAGACCAGAGTCATCCAGCAGCTGTGCAGCAGAATGAGGAGCTACCCATGTGACTCCTTCTCTTTAGGGTCCCAGCATGCTGCGGTTACTCAAAAACCTGGAGTGGGCCGCTTATGGCAACAGATTCTTACAAAGTAAGCTTCCAGAAAAGGACATTGGTCCTTGTGCCTTTTAATGACAGGTCAAACCCTGTGGGTTTTTGGGGTTTATGCTTTGATTTGCATTGGGCATTTTTGAACCAGAGAAAAATAGTAGGTGGTAGTTAATGCTTACTCTCTTGATTTATTAATTTAACTTCAAAGACCTTTATGACCAATTGTCAGTCTGCTAAGCATTTCCTATTCTGTGTTGAAAGTAACAAATACCAAGAGCATGATTTTACTAGCTGGCTGATGCTTGTTTTCAGACATGTCTCTGACTTCTGGTTTTGCAGAATGTCTGGAAGGACACAGACATCTTGGTTTTTAGTCTGAAGCTCCTTGATTGTGTTTCCATGGAAGAGGATCCTTTCATACCAGTAGCTGCCATTGTCACAGGTGAGTGATGTATTTTGAGGAGGAGGAGAGGTTTTTAACTAAGCTCTGCATGGCAAATTATAGAGGAAACTAAAAATTGCTCAGCCCCAAACACTGCTATTACATGAAATCACTCTGGTTTCTTTCATTGCCTTCTTGGAAAATTAAGGGTGGATGGTGGGTATAGAGCCAGAAGCTGGAATTTTTCTCCCCCAAAGCTCTAAATCATTTTCATCAGCCTCAGAAGTTTATATTGGATATTAGGAAAAAATTCTTCCCTGAAAGGGTTGTCAAGCTGTTGGAATAGGCTGCCCAGGGAAGTGGTGGAGTCACCATCCCTGGAGGTATTTAGATGACATGTAGATCATGGTTTAGGGACAGGGTTTAGTGGTGGACTTTTTAGTGCTGGGTTAGCAGTGGGACTTGATCTTTTTTTAACATGAAATTGTAAATATCCAATAGAAACTCAATGTGTTTGTTCTGAGAAAAGTACTAGTTATGAAAAACGATGTTGTTTCTAAAGGTGTAACTGTATGTGCAAGTAGTGTCATGCAGTTCATGGCATCTATATTGTGACTAAATCTGTCATTTACCTTTTTTTTTTCAGCTATTAATAAAGAAAAGACACGTACGATTGGGTATGATGTTACTGAATTCTTGAACTTCTCATCTCATGTTTTAAGGTACAACTTTTGTCCCTTAAATCAGATGGTCTTCTCTAGAAATGTGTGTGCAGGCAGGCACAACACAGTTTTAGTGGTAAAGTCATAGATTTATAGAATCATAGAATAGTTAGTGTTGGAAAGGACATTAAGATCAAGTTCCAACCTCCCTGCCATGGGCAGGGACACCTCACACTAAACCATCTCACCCAAGGCTCTGTCCAACCTGGCCTTGGACACCACCAGGGATGGAGCATTCACAGCTTCCTTGGGCAACCCCTTCCAGTGCCTCACCACCCTCACAGTAAAGAACTTCCTCCTTGTATCCAATCTAAGTTTCTCCTGTTTAAGTTTTAACCCGTTACCCCTTGTCCTATCACTACAGTCCCTAATGAAGAGTCCCTCCCCAGCATCCCTATAGGCCCCCTTCAGATACTGGAAGGCTGCTATGAGGTCTCCACGCAGCCTTCTCTTCTCCAGGCTGAACAGCCCCAACTTTCTCAGCCCATCTTCATATGGGAGGTGCTCCAGTCTCCTGATCATCCTTGTGGCCCTCTTCTGGACTTCTTCCAACAGTTCCATGTCCTTTTTATGTTGAGGACACCAGAACTGTACACAGTGCTCCAAGTGAGGTCTCAGGAGAGCAGAGTGGAGGGACAGGATCACCTCCCTCGACCTGCTGGTCACGCTCCTTTTGATGCAGTCCAGGATACGGTTGGCTTTCTGGGCTGCAAGCACACACTGAGGCTGGTTCATGTTGATTTTCTCACGGACCAACACCCCCAAGTCCTTCTCCACAGGGCTGCTCTGAATCTCTTCTCTGCCCAACCTGTAGCTGCGCCTGGGATTGCTCTGACCCAGGTGTGTAGGACCTTGCACTTGGCATGGTTAAACTTCATGAGGTTGGCATCAGCCCACCTCAGAGGAGTGTCAAGGTCCCTCTGGATGGCATTCCTTCCCTCCAGGGTATCAACCAAACCACACAGCTTGCTGTCATCAGCAGACTTGCTGAGGGCGCACTCAATCCCACTGTCCATGTCAGCAACAAAGATGTTGAAAAGACCGGTCCCAACACTGATCCCTGAGGGACACCACTCGTTACTGGTCTCCAGCTGGACATTGAGCCATTGACCACAAGTCTTTGTGTGCAGCCATCCAGCCAGTTCTTTATCCACCGAGTGGTCCATCCATCAAATTGATGTCGCTCCAATTTAGAGACAAGGATGTCGTGTGGGACAGTGTCGGATGCTTTACACAAGTCCAGGTAGATGACATCAACAGCTCTACCCTGTCCATCAGTTCTGTAGCCCCATCATAGAAGGCCACCAAATTGGTCAGGCAGGATTTCCCCTTAGTGAAGCCATGCCGGCTGTCACCAAGCACCTTGTTGTTTTTCATGTGCCTTAGCATGCCTTCCAGGAGAATCTGCTCCAAGATTTTGCCAGGCACAGAGGTGAGACTGACTGCTCTGTAATTCCCTGGGTCATCCATTTTCCCCTTCTTGAACATGGGGGTTATATTTCCCTTTTTCCAGTCATCGGGAACTTCACCTGACTGCCATGATTTCTCAAATATGATGGCCAGCGGCTTAGCAACTTCATTTGCCAGCTCCTTCAGGACCCGCGGATGGATCTCATCCGGACCCATGGACTTGTGCACATTCAGATTTTTAAGATGGTCTCGAACCAGTTCCTCTCCTACAGTGGGCACAAGGTCTTCATTCTCACAGTCCCTGCATCTGCCTTCCAAGACCTGGGTGGTGGGGTCAGAGCCTTTGCCAGTGAAGACTGAGGCAAAGAAGTCATTCAGAACCTCAGCCTTCTCCAAATCCTGTGTAGCCAGTTCTCCCGAGAGCTTCCTGAGGTGGCTTACGTTGTCCCTAGTCTGTTTTTTATTTGCTATGTACCTGTAGAATCCCTTCCTGTTATCCTTAACATCCCTAGCCAAGTTTAATTCTTACTGGGCCTTAGCTTTCCTAACCTGGTCCCTAGCTTCCCAGACAACATCCCTGTACTTTTCCCAGGTTGCCTGTCCTTGCTTCCACTTTTTATAAGCCTCTTTTTTCATTTGAATTTTCCTCAGGAGCTCCTTATCCATCCAAGGAGGTCTCCTGGCCCTGCACTTCCTTCTGGTTGGGATGCAACACTCCTGAGCTTGCAGCAGGTGATCCTTGAATATCAGCCAGCAGTCTTGGGCCCCCCTGCCCTCTAGGGCTGTATCCCATGGAACCTTACTAAGTAGGCTCCTGAAGAGGCTAAAGTCTGCGCTCTTGAAGTCCAGGGCAGTGAGCTTGCTGCACGCTCTTCTCACTGCCCTGAGGATCTCAAATTCGACCATCTCGTGATCGCTGCAACCCAGGCTGCCCTGGAGCGTCACATTTCCAATGAGCCCTTCCCTGTTGGTGAGCACAAGGTCAAGCATGGCACCTCTCCTTGTCGGCTCCTCTATTACTTGCAGAAAGAAGTTGTCTTCCACACAATCGAGGAACCTCCTGGATTGCTTGTGCCGGGCCGTACCGTCCCTCCAACAGATGTCAGGGTGGTTGAAGTCCCCCACGAGAACAAGGGGCTGTGAGCGTGAGGCTGTTCCTATCTGTCTATGGGGTGCTTCATCCACAGATTCCTCTTGATCAGGCAGTCTGTAACAGATCCCCACAGTAATGTCTCCCATAGCTATATTCCCTTTAACCCTGACCCACAAACTCTCTGTTAACTGATCACCTGTCGCCAGACAGAGTTCCATGCTCTCCAGCCTATCCCTAACACAAATAGCAACTCCCCTTCCTCACCTGCTGGGCCTGTCCTTTCTAAAAAGTCTGTAACTTTCCATTCCAACACTCCAGTCATAGGAGCCATCCCACCATGTTTCTGCGATGCCTATTATATCATACCCCCATAGACGTGCACACATCTCTAATTCCTCTTGTTTGTAAATGAGCTGAATGTAAATGTAAATGTTCGTAATATGAGCTGAATGGGAAGCAAACAATTCTTTTATCCTCTGAGTTTTCAAGTTCTGTGGCACTAGTATCCACCCTGGAGGTTTTAACTTCTTTCCATTTTGTTTGCAGCAAAACAAATGCTCTACAGGAGAACCCAGATGCTGTTCTTGCCCCTCGCTCCTCCTATCAAACAGTTTGGGAAATGTTTGCTAAGCAGTCTGAATTGGAGAGGGATTCTTTTCTGCAAGATGTTTTCCCAAGTGGTTTCCTCTGGGGCACATCCACAGGTGCCTTTAACATTGAAGGAGCTTGGGCAGAGGATGGGAAAGGAGAGAGCATCTGGGATCAGTTTGGGCACACAGGTCACATCTACATGAACCAAACAGCAGACGTGGCATGTGACAGCTACTATAAAACCAGCTATGATGTTTATCTACTTAGGGGTCTCCATCCCCAAATGTACAAGTTTTCTGTATCCTGGCCTAGAATTTTTCCTGATGGTACCAATGAGACCATCAACTCCAAGGGTGTTGATTATTACAGCGAATTAATTAACAGGTTGCTGGACTCTAACATTGAGCCCATGGTGACTCTCTTCCACTGGGACCTCCCACAAGCCCTTCAGGTTCTTGGTGGCTGGCAGAATGACAGTATCATAGATACTTTTGTAAACTATGCAGACTTCTGCTTTTCCACTTTTGGGGATCGGGTCAAGTTCTGGATTACTTTCCATGAGCCTTGGGTTATCAGCTATGCTGGCTATGGCACCGGAGAGCATCCTCCAGGAATCACTGACCCAGGAGTAGCATCTTTCAAGGTAGGAACACAGGAATAACTGGGATACCGCAGCTGCCATTATTGTGTTGTTTTCCTCTAATGGTTCTGTGCTTTAAGCCTGATGTGGCCTTTGAGACAACTATTTGCTTGCTGGATTTATGATGCTTGCAAAAATTTGACTAGTTATGCTAGATGGATGCTAGATGGCATCATTTTTTCTATTGGGAAAGCCGGTGTTGATGGATAGTCAGGTTCTTCTGTTTATTCCAGATCCACTGCACTCTCTGGCTATGGTTGTTTTGTCAAGGTTTTTTCTTTTGAATGGAGATAATATTATGTGGCAATAATCTGAATGCTTAAGAGTTCTTGTGCAAAGCAGTGTGACACATATTCCTCTGTGTTCTTTCCCCAGGTGGCTCACACAATTCTCAAGGCTCATGCCAAGGTCTGGCACTTGTACAATGACAAATACCGTTCTCAGCAGCTGGGAAAGGTGGGGCTGGTGCTGAATTCAGATTGGGCTGAACCAAAGACTCCAACCAGCTCTGAGGATGTGAGGGCATCTGAGAGGTACCTGCAGTTCATGCTAGGCTGGTTTGCTCACCCTGTATTTGTTAATGGTGATTACCCAGATATCCTGAAGTCTCAGATCCGGGAAGTAAACCAGCAGTGCTCCACAGCAGTTGCACAGCTACCTTTGTTTACAGAGGAGGAGAAGTCCTGGGTGAAAGGGACTGCAGATTTTTTTGGTCTTTCCCATTACACTTCCCACCTGGTCAGTGCTGTGACTAATGGGACCTGCACACCAGACTACAAGAACATTGGGAACTTCTCCTTGCATGTAGATCCTTCTTGGCCACAGACCGCCTCTTCTTGGATCCATGTGGTCCCTTGGGGATTAAGAAGGCTGCTGAAGTTTGTGTCCCAGGAATATACAGGGTCAAAGATCCCAATTTACATAGCAGGAAATGGTATGCCAACAAAAGACTCAGGGGATCTTATTAATGACACTCTGCGAGTGGATTATTTCCACCGGTACATCAATGAGGCTCTAAAAGGTATGGAGAAATCTAATATACATACATCTTTTTAAATGGCAGCTAGTTATTCTATCCCTTCCATGGTGGTTAACTTTAAAATATCACTATTTGCCCAGTGATATGAGGTCAGCTGCCTATTTTGTATGTAGTGTGACCTTATATACTTCAGCCTATCTGGTGTCCAGGTATGGAACTCTATTCTGTTAGGTATGGGAGTAGGTTTTTCATATATTTGGGTTAATGTAGCCTGGACCCTAAAATCAGTCCCGCTGTGAGAACAGCATTTATACTTCAGCTTCCCTGAAGATGATTTGCCAGCAGGCAGGATCTCACCTGTAGAGATCCTATAGGTCAGGACTGTCTTTACTGATTAAGTAGATCTAACTGGCAGCATCCTGTACCATTTCAGGTTAGATTTTTTTTTAGGGAGATATTTATATCATCTCAGTCATTTTGAGCAAGGTTCAAGGTATGCTTGTGTCATTGCAAACTGTGCATCAATTGATGTAAAAATAGTATTGTTGACTCAAGTTCTGGACAGGTATAGAGATTTGACATTTCAAATAGAGATGTGACTGACTGATACTCTCTTGACATACACAAACCAATACCGATGGGAAGAATTCATTAAATATGCTGTATCAAATAGGTTGGTGATCAGGATACAGCATTTGATCTTCTTGATCTAGTTCTCAACATGCTGATAGAAGTGTTAAAAGAGCTACAGAAAACACAATTTAGCATTGTTATGCATCAGAAAAAGTAAAGAAGACAGATTGCATATGGGAAGTGAACTGTTCTGGATTGAGAGCGATTCAGTGCTTTTTTTGTAGGCAGTGTGAGGCTCGACTTGCCTCTGCTGCTATTAGATAGGCTGTTCTGCTAAAAGAAGCTCTCCTGTGCTCAGGGAAGATAGGCACTAAATACACATACTGTTTAACTATAGTGTTAAATGTAAAAGTGTACCATATACCTGAATTAATGGAATGTGCTTGAAAACACAGGGGGAAAGGGATACCAGTGGTGCAAGTTTGGTGGGGATTTTTGCCTAAAAGACCATTTGTAGATGTTTGGTTTAACAGTTACCCTCAGTTGTGGTGCTTATGTTGTGCTGTGCTGTGTTCAGAAGATGAATAACAGTGTCTTTAACTGTTCCTGTGACAGCGGTAAAACTAGATGGAGTTGATGTTCGGTCATATATGGCTCGATCCCTCATCGATGGCTTTGAAGGCCCAGTGGGGTACAGCCTAAAATTTGGGCTGCATCATGTGAATTTTGAAGATAGCAACAGACCAAGGACTCCCAAGGCATCTGCTTATTTCTATTCCAGGATTATTGAAAAAAACGGTTTCCCACCCGAAGTCTTGGACAGATTTACTACACCAGCAGTGTTTGACCTACCTGTGCCATCCAAGTTGCCAAATTTACCAGCATCAGAAGTTCCCTCCAAGGCAAAAGTTGTCTGGCAGAAGTTTTCATCTCAAGCAGACTTTGAAAGGGACACATACTTTTATGGGACATTCCCAGAGGACTTTTCTTGGGGTGTGTCTTCTTCTGCCTACCAGATAGAGGGAGGTTGGGATGCTGATGGCAAAGGACCCAGCATTTGGGACAATTTCACCCATATCCCAGGGAGTATCAAGAATAATGACACTGGAGACATAGCTTGTGATAGCTACAACAAGGTGGAAGAAGATATCTACCTGCTGAGAGCCTTAGGGGTAAAGAACTATCGTTTCTCCCTGTCCTGGTCTCGAATTTTCCCCAGCGGAAGGAACAACTCAATAAATAGCCATGGAGTTGACTACTATAGCCATCTTATTGATGGGCTGGTTGCAAACAACATCGCGCCAATCGTCACTCTCTACCACTGGGACCTTCCACAAGCTCTCCAGGACATTGGTGGCTGGGAGAACAGCACACTGATTGACCTGTTTGATAGTTTTGCCGACTTCTGTTTCCAGACCTTTGGGGACAGGGTGAAGTTTTGGATTACGCTTAATGAACCCCAAGTCATTGCATGGGCTGGCTACGGCCTTGGGACATTTCCACCCAACATCAATGACCCTGGCAGTGCTCCCTACAGGGTTGCCCACATCTTACTGAAAGCTCATGCCAGGGTTTACCACACATATGATGACAAATACAGAGCAAGTCAGGGAGGGGTCATTACTTTGTGTCCCAACATCGAGTGGGTTGAGCCGAAGACACCAAGTGACCCTAGGGACATAGAAGCTGCAGACAGGCACCTGCAGTTCCTGGTGGGGTGGTTTACACACCCAATTTTCAAAAATGGGGACTACCCCGAGGTCATGAAGTGGAAAGTTGGGAACAGGAGTGAGCTCCAGAACCTGCCATCATCTCGCCTACCAGTTTTCACAGCAGAAGAGCGTGAATACATCAGGGGCACGGCAGATGTGTTCTGCTTCAACACCTACACCTCCAAAATTGTAACCCATGCAGTGACCCAGTTGAGGCCCTTCTCTTATGAGTATGACCAGGAAGTCTCAACAAGTGTTGACAGCTCCTGGCCTTCCTCTGCTATTTCTGACCAGCGGGCTGTGGCTTGGGGGCTGAGGAGGCTACTGAACTGGATCAAAGAAGAATATGAAAATCCCCCAATATATATAATTGAGAACGGGGTGGGGGTAAAGACCACATCAGATGTTGATGACAATACCAGGATATTTTACTACAAAACATACATTGATGAAACTTTAAAAGGTACCTGTGTTTGCTATTGTTCTGTTGGTGTTGCATATGTAATCACCTCTCTAGATTCCTGCTTACTTCATTCCTCTGAAAAGTAGTTTTAAAAAGTGATTGATGTCAGCCTTCAAATATTCTGAACATGATATAAACATAGTGTTTCTTTTTCTGATCTCCTTTGCATGGCCATTTGTATTTTGTATCCTCCAACTATGAAGAGTCTCTTAATGATCTTAGTTGATGAGTCCCAGCTTTATGAAGCTAGAAGATGGATGTGCTTGCATGTGAATTCTATGGAGTTCGTTTAATGTATGATTATACCACTGATGCTTTTCTGTTTGTTTCTGATCTTTCAGCTTACAATTTGGATAATGTTAATCTGAGAGGATATAATGCTTGGTCTCTTATGGATGACTTTGAATGGCTGAATGGTTATGATCCAAGATTCGGATTGCACCAGGTTGACTTTGACAATCCCAACAGGCCAAGAACCCCAAAGCGCTCTGCTGTGTACTATGCAGAAATCATCCGCAATAATGGTATCCCAATGCCAAAAGAAGATGAATTTTTATATGGAGAGTTTCCAAAGAACTTTTGGTGGAGTGTAGCAACTTCAGCATATCAGGTTAGGAAATGGAGATGGATTTTTAACCTGTCTGTGGACAGTTAATTCATTTTGTATGAGCACCTACAGCTTTTTTAACGTTAAGTTTTACTGTAATTGAGGGTTAGTGTAGCAACTGCTGTAAAAGGGAGGAACTTGGAGATGTTTATAGGGCATAGTTATACCACAAGAATTGAGACAGCAGCATGGAATTCAGAAGAGGCAGCCAACATGGAGCAGCAGGTGAACTGAAACATTGCCTGGTCTGTGACATTGTGCTTTGCTAATATGTCTTGTCTTGGGGCCCAAGAGGTCTTACTAGTTTGATACAGCAAAATCATTGCTATTTTTAGTCTAGCTGATAAGTCAAAATATTGTATAATACTGCAAAGACTAGCAGGCTGAATACTTTGCTGAGCCAAGACCTATATTTGGAGTTTACTAATAATATTCCCCTATCTTCAACTACAGGTTGAGGGAGGGTGGAGAGAAGATGGGAAAGGACTAAGTATTTGGGATCAGTTTTCTCACACTCCCTTGAAAATCAGCAATGGTCACACTGGAGATGTAGCTTGTGACAGCTACCACAAAGTTGAGGAGGATGTGGAAATGCTGAAAAGCCTCAAGGTGTCTCACTACCGCTTTTCAATCTCCTGGTCCCGCGTTCTCCCAGATGGGACCACCAGATACATCAATGAAATGGGACTGAACTACTATGAAAGGCTTATTGATGCTCTTTTGGCAGCTAACATCATGCCTCAGGTAACTGAAAATGGAACTTTCAAGTAACTAAAAGATGGCAGAACCCAAGTCTGATGCTCAGAGCATGGGCATGTGTTTCCATCCGTCCCTCAGATAATGCCTTATCAAACCTGTGCCTTCATGGCAGTACTCTAGACTGGTGCAATGGAGGTACCAGACTGCACAGGTGTTCTATGGGATTGTATTTCATCAGGGACTTGGTGCAGGCACAGCAGTTCTTCACTGACACATTCTTGTGATCACAAGGTTGTAGCGGTTTTTGGTAAAGGCTTCATCTTCACCATCAGGCAGTCCTTAGACTTCAAGTAATTTCCCCACATCCTCAGGAAACTGAAACACTGGCAAGAAGGTATTTTATTTGAGCACACGAGTGATTACTGCAAACTCAAACACCGTTAGGAGCAGGTAGCTGCAGATCAAAGCACAGTTTATTTATGTTCTTACGAAGCTAGATTGCTGTGCTTATTTCAGAAAGTAAGAGTGACTGATTGAGTCCTTTATCTTGCTGTCTTTCACTTCAGGTAACTATCTACCATTGGGACCTTCCACAGGCGCTGCAAAACGTTGGTGGGTGGGAGAATGATACCATAGTTCAGAGGTTTAAGGAATATGCTGAGCTCCTTTTCCAGAGACTGGGAGATAAAGTGAAATTTTGGATAACCCTCAATGAACCCTACAACACTGCATATTTTGGTTATGGCGTTGGAACAGCTGCCCCAGGTAAGACCACTGGGTATAACCTCAGAGCCTTCACAGCACTGTAGGCACAGCTGTTTTATGCTGCAGCAGAGTAGATGCTAGGGACTTGCAAAGGCAGAGCAAGAAAGACGGTGTGGTAGGGATACATGGGTCTGCTGTGGTGTGGTGAAGAGGTCCTGCTCTCACTTTGCCTGACACCTCCTAGACCCATCTTCCTTCCACCCTAATCCAGTGCTCCTCTGCAACATCCAGATTACACTTGCTGCCTGGAGCAGACCCATTTTCAGACCAGCCCCAGGGACTGTGGACATGGGTTAGGGCTGGAGGAAAGCCATGCTTGGCTGTAGGATAGAAGGATGTGGAGGGACAGGAGCTGGCCTGAACACAGAGCTGTCTGCTCTCCATACTGGCAGCAGCAGTATGTTGCTGGGGCTGGCAGCCCTGCATGGGCAGAGAGCTGAACCAGCCCATGTCCCACTGCAGGGGGAGGAAGGGGCAATGGCGGGGTCCTGCACAACTGCAGCTGCATCTTCAGCTGTCTCTACTGAAGCACTGATTTCATCCCAGGGCTGGGCTTAAGGGCACCAGAGGCTGCACATTCACTTGTTTACTAGTGGGCAGTTCTGGCTGTCCTGGGTGTTGTGTTGACCTGGGAAGCAGCTGATGAGAATGCTGGGAACTGCTGCTCCACCGCCTTGCTGTCTCTGTCTGCAGGCATTTCCATTCGACCAGGGCGAGCTCCCTACGTTGTGGGGCACAACTTAATAAAAGCCCATGCAGAAGTCTGGCACCTCTACAATGAGACCTACCGGGCAAAGCAAGGAGGTTTAATCTCTATCACTATCAACTCTGACTGGGCGGAACCAAGGAACCCACACAACCAGGAAGACATCAGTGCTGCCAGACGATTCTTGCAGGTACAGAGACACCTGGTCACAGCTCTTCCTGCTCTCCTGAGTTTGTTCATGGTGACACCCCATCTGTGGGTGCTGGAGATACCCAGAACCCAGGTTAGCATCTCACTGGAAGAAAAGGGTGAGCCAAAGGCATCACTGCAATATATCATCCTCTTCTAGTGGCCAGTAAAGCTGCAACAGAAATGAGACAAAATATGGTCGAAGTGACAAAAGCGCATTAAACTTACTGCCATTAAATGGGCATCCCTGGGTATCTCTATGTGCCTGTCCATTATAAATTCAAAAGCAGCACATGAAAGAGAAACCTCTTGTTTTGATACATAATTTATCAATCTCCCTTGTTTCCTGGCTTAGTTTTTCTTAGGTTGGTTTGCTCATCCCATTTTCAAAACTGGTGATTATAATGAAGTGATGAAAACAAGGATTCGGGAACGCAGCCTGGCTCAAGGTCTGAGCCAGTCCCGGTAAGAGCTCAGGCACACACCTGCTCCTCTTTCACCTGCTGTACTGAAACCTGAATTACTGGTAGATGGGCTGAATTTCAATGATTCTATTGCAGTATTACTGTAGCTAACTTACTGTATCCTCACAGAAGAACTCTAGTGTACATTTTTCCTGATCCTTGTCTTTACCTCCCTTGCAAACTAAATTTACTAATTGTCCTGGGTTCAGCAGTAGCAGTCATTTTTCTCCTTCTTAGTAGCTGGTGCAGTGCTGTGTTTTTGACTTTCAGCCTGGGAACAGCACTGATAACACCAATGTTTTTAGTTATTGCTCAATAATGTTTACTCTGACCAAGGACTTTCTGAGTCTCATGCTCTGCCAGGGAGGAGGGGAAGTCAGAAGGAAGCAGAAACAGGACACCTGTCCCAAACTGACCAAAGGGGTATTCCATACCACAGCACATCATGCCCAGTATATAAGCTGAGGGCAGTTACCCGGAAGGCCCAGATTACTGCTCAGGTTGGGCTGGGTATCCGTCAGCGGGTGGTGAGCGGTTGTATTCTCTGCCCTTGTTATTTCCCTTATCATTATTATTATTGGTGGTAGCAGCAGTGGTTTGTGTTATACCTTAGTTACTGGACTGTTCTTATCCCAACCCGTGGGAGTTACATTCTTTCGATTCTCCTCCCCATCCCTCCGGGAGCTGGGGGAGGAAGAAGAGGGGAGTGAATGAGCAGCTGTGTGGAGCTGAGTTACCAGCTGGGCTTAAACCATGACACTAACATAACCTGTCTCTGGGGTAATAAGTTGGCAGGTCAGGAAATGCTCTGTATTAGACACAGTGCTTTACCTGATGACTGTGGTAAATGCGTTTTAACTTTTCTTAAAATTATGTACTGAATTTGAGCACTGAGAACTCACTGGTCCCTCTGAATTATGTTTCTTATTTTGCAGTCCCATGAATTATTCTTAACTTTATTGTGGTAGTAGTGCTCCATCATGAATGTTTTTTCTTTTCTCTCCTTTCAAGGCACACACAAGGAAAGTACTTTTTTCTCTTAACATTAATAGCAATTTAATGGGGTGTACTAGATCTGGGCTATTCCTGATCACTCATTTGTGCAAATGGGAATGACCACTTGTTTTGAAATGCGGGAGATGGTAGAAGAGTCGGTATGTGCTCTGCAGCAAAGGCGGGTCTCTTCAAGATTTGAGTTACGCTTTTGTATATGCCTAAACCACTTGCGTTCTTAGGCACTTTTTTGGACATGCTATTTCTTCTCTGGTGGTTGCTGCCATTAATAACAGAACAAAGTCATGTTTGTTGATTTATGAGGTAACATGCCCAAGTATCTCAATATTCTAGAATTATGGTACCTTGCCTTTCGCTTGTGGTGCTGGTACCAGGTATACCAGCATTACATGAGGTGTGTTCAAAGTGAGGATCTCTGAGACAAAGCTCACAAGTTTTGTTTCCTATGCAGAAGCCAGAGTTTATGAGACAACACTGTATTATCCTCCGCCACAACCTACCAAGTGCTACTACTGACACACAGAGAAGAGCTCCTCTTGCAGCAGATGCCTGTTCCCCTGCTGCTGGGAAGCACATGTTAGCAGAGCTGCCTGGCTGTATCTTCTGTATACACAAGCAGGAGTACAGTGTTTTGATGGGCTCATGACAGCTCCCCTGAGCAGGGACAGGAACCCCTGGATGTCACTGGCTGCTAGCAGGCACTATTTAATGCTTACTTCTGTCAGAGCCAGTTGTGCTTTTGCAGAAGAGTGGGCTTGAAACTGGTCACTTGTGAACACTGCAGCTCTGGGTTCTCCATAGGGTTTTGTGACAAACTAAGTCCATAGGTGACCATGTGACAATCAAAATGATTATCACCATTTCCTCCCATTTCCACACTCCTTACTGGGCAAACACTGTTTCTTGTCTTATAAAGTAGGATGTTGGTCAAACTTCTTGTGTGACGTTGAGCAGGACTTCTAGCCATCAGGTGTCTGTTTTCTGGTCAGAGGAAAGTCTGTTCTTCCCCTGAAGAACATTAGAGCAGGCAGCATGAACTGCATAGTCAGTCTAGCAAAAGCTAACTACACAACAGCGCTGGGAAGGAGTAGAAGCAAAGGAAGGGGAAATCCTGAGAAGATACACAGTTTGAGGGGTTTATGCTTTTCTCTGTTTTCTATTGCAGGCTTCCAGAATTCACTGAAAGTGAAAAGCAAAGAATTAAAGGCACATATGACTACTTCGGCCTGAATCATTATACTACAGTATTAACATACAACATGAACTATCCTGCTGGTGTTCTGTCATATGACTCTGACAGGTAAGATATGCACATCTGGAGCCTGGGCCAACTGAACAGTAAACTATTAGCACATAATGCTGTGAGACAGGTATTTTAACCAATGCTAACAAAAACATCCACGAACAGTACATGTGGTACTGTTATTTTCACAAAAGGCCAGCAACAGCCTGTTTTACAGACCTGATGATAAATATGAATGCTAAAAACAGGACAAAGAACATTAGAGGATCTACTAAGGGAAGGAATCTGCACTTGTGAGTCTCCCAGTGGTTTGGGATCAGCTGTCAACAGTATTTATCATATTTCCTGCCCCCAATCTGCAGTTTGATTATCCTGGGTTATTGATACTGCTCCATTTGCTGTTAAACAGTCATTAGTTCCCTCACCTCAGCAGATAAATATAAGTTCAAAGCCTAAACGTCTGAGTCACTTCATAGTTAAATATACATGAGTCAAGGTATTTATTTAGGTAACAATTTCTTTCCCCAGCTTAAAAAGATAAATAACAGGAGCTCACTTAGTTTTTCCTATGAGAATGGAGGTAATGGTGGGACAACATAGGCTGTTTTCTGAAACCTTTCCATAGAGAATAAATTAAATAATTATACTTTCCCTTTGCTGCTGCATCCCCACTCCTGTGGTTTAGTCCATGTAGGACACTGAGCTCAGTTTTACATTCCTGTACATAGCTGTAAACAGCAATTTTGTGGGCTCAAAGACTGCATTATACACACCCCAAAGATCTGGAGCTAACATCACATCCTCAGCCATAGCTGGTTTAAGCAGAATACTGTTGTGAAGCAAAGTATCAAAGTGTTGTCTAGAGGCTTGGGAGCTCCAGCACCACCTTCACCTGCTGTCACAGCCTAACCAACTTGCTATAGTTTCCCCTTTGGTTCAGTGTTCTACAGAGCTCTGTTTCTCAGCCCTGCAGCAAAGAGCTGCCAGGTGCAGTGGCAGGCACTTGGGACTGGTCCCTTGATCAGCATGTCCTCCTTGCAGGGGTGTAGCTTCAGTAACAGACCGCAGCTGGCTGAACTCAGGTTCCTTCTGGCTAAAGGTGACACCCTTTGGTTTCCGAAAGCTCCTGAGATGGATAAAGGAAGAGTACAACAATCCTCCCATTTATGTGACTGAAAATGGGATCTCGGAAAGGGGAGCCTCAGACTTCAATGACACTTGGCGAACACATTACTATCGGAGCTACATTAACGAAGCACTGAAAGGTGAGAATGACTATTTAAATCTGATCATCCAAATCTCTAGAGAGCAGCAGTGTCTTGCCACAAGACTGATGTGTATAAAACAAGTTGTGAAGAGCTGAAACAGCACTGCTGTTACCCCTCACACAGGTTTACTCTCTATCTGCTTCTGAGAGCCTTTGGGTTTAGCAGCAACTGCCCATGGATAGCCAAGACATTGCAGGGAAAAGGTGGTCTGAGGGAAGAACAAATGCTGGGTTCAGAAGGGTAACTGCAGCTTTGTTGCACAGCTGCATCTGGCAAGAGAAGGTGCTACTATTACTTGAGGAATACCTATTTTGATTTCTAGCTTGACTACTGCTGTGTCTAAAAATTTCAACCTTTTTAAACAGTTTTCAGTTACAGCACTGATCATACATACAACACTGGAGAGGGGCTTTTCTAACATACTGGGTGCTGCCAGGCAGATATTCAGAATGGGGTAATTTCCCGTGGTTTAGCAGTGAGGCCCCAAAAGCACTTAAAACAATACTTGCATGCTGATGGCTTTTCTCCTTTGTGTCTAAACTTTTGTTCATTGGACACAAGCTTTGATTTTTGGAGGAGGCAAAAGCAGTCTCCAGCACTGGCAACTACCCTGGTTGCTTGTTAGCCATAACTTGGCAGCTGACCTATCTCAAATCAGCCAAGAAGCAACACAAGAGTGGGGAATGGGGACACAGCGAAACCAATGGTACCAAAACAGTAATAACCCCACTGTGCTTGGCACCCTGGTGCTGTGTAGCATCCTAAACCATCTTCATATCACTGCTTGTCGAGTGGTGACATCTCCAGTCACTTGGTTGCACAACCAGTCTCTTCTTTCTGGTCCTGGTAACAGCCATTGTGCTTGACGGTGTTGACTTACGAGGCTACACTGCATGGACACTGATGGACAACTTCGAGTGGGCAGTGGGCTTTGATGAGAAGTTTGGGTTCTACCACGTGAATTTCACAGACGCTGACTTGCCGCGACACCCCAAGGCCTCTGCCAGGTACTACTCACAGATCATAAACTGCAATGGGTTTCCAGACCCAGCAGCTGGCCCACATCCTTGTCTGGAACTAGAGCCTGAAGGTAAGCGACACAGCGGAAATTGTGCTTTTTCTGGTTTGTATGTGCATCTGATTCCAATCCCAAAAGATGTCCATAATCTAAGGTCTTTACAACACCACCATTTTCTGCAGTATTCTTTTTAAGGGCTCCAGGGGTGCACTGACTGATAATTGGTTTTGTTGTGACTGAAGACATTCACATGGAATTATGGCACTTTCGCATGCAAAACCAAACGACTCAAATTTTGTGTGATAGCTCCTCGGACATGCAGCAAAATAAGTTATTCCATTCCACAAGTTATTCCACATTCCACTTCAATAAACTGCCCAAGATGTATTCCAAACCAGACACATTCAGTATTCCCATACCATGTTTTCCAAACAATTTTGAATACTTTATGTCAGTGTTTTGGCTAAGCCTTTGGAAATACTGATTCTTTTGTCATTTACATTTTTCTGAACTAGAGGTGTGCACCAAACAGCAAGCACTGTTAGCATGGGCTTTTGGGGATACCATGGCTGCTGAAGAACACTCACCGCTCCCGGGGTATTGACAACTGCACTCTTGGCCCCAGCTATTCCTTTACTCTGAGCTAGAACTGTGTCAGTCACTGATCCACACCATTATGGCCACGGCCACAGCACTGAGTCCTCTGTGGAGGCAGGAAGTGGCCATGCACATACACACATGCATGAAGGAGCTCACCCAGGCTGTGTACTAACACCTTCTCATTGTTTTCCCATGGACAGTGCCACCAACAGATGCCACACCAGGACCAGCTGCCAGTGTGCTCTTCTTGGGATTAGAATTAACATCACAGAGAGCAGAAATAGCACTGTATGTGCTTTTTGCTCTTTCAGGAGTTGGAGCATTGGGCTTGGCTCTTTTTGCATATAGGTATGGAAAGTTATCTAAAAGATCCTGTAAAAGATCACACATGGAACTTAGTAAACTGTAAAGCTTCCACTTACTTATTAAAGTGCTTCATTTTTTATTGAAAGTCTACAGCATGAGGGGAAGAAACCTAGTGCTTGTACTGCAGCAACTGTGATTTGCCCTAGAGACAGCTCCCCATCATTTTGTTGTTTGCTCACCATCTTCAAAGTACAAAAATAAAATATAAGTGGCCCTAATACTGTGCCTTCATATTTGAACACTGTGGGATAATTAGATTTACTTTAACTAGGAATGTGAAGCTGCATGGAACACCTGTAGTATTTAGGTCTCTTAACACAGAGATGCACAGCACATGGTACAGGGGAGAGAAGGTGATGCCTATTCCTCAACAATAGCAGCTACCAGGCCCTTGTTTTGCAGCCCTATGCAAATTTTTCATTCTACCAGATAAAGACCCACCTTTTTTCTTCCTGTACCACAGCCTGGACCCCAAACCCCATTTCAGACCTGTCTGATGAGATTTTAATATGAACAACTCCCAGGTAAGGTCATTTCAACTGGAACAAGAAGAGTTCCATTTTAAGTACGATCCTAACTGCTTGCTTCCTTGTGACACAAGTACTCCTGAGGAACTTTGCAAGGGAAGACAGTTCTGTTTTCTGGAAAATAGTTTATTGAGTGCTTGGGAATTAAAAACTACAAGGTTTTACTTGCAGTTGCAGAAGCAAGAACAAAGTTAAACATAAATTAGTTATCTGATTTACTACCTATAGTGCTTTTGAAACCCTCATTTTAATCAGTCAGTACCATGACCTTTATATTAATATCTGGCCCTTAAATTTATGCAGCAGAATATTTATAGATTAAAAAGTGCCTTTCTGTGGCAGTAGGATAATGATTATGAAAGCTGATGGACATTCTCAGTCTTTCCAACTTCTTGCTTCTAGGCCTCAGCTACATCCACTCAATTTTTCTGACTTAGGTGACTTTATTCCGTACTCCACTGCAGGAATAAGAATGAAGTAACTCAGTCAGGGTAAAATTAGCCCCACTTGACCTGAAGCTTTAGTTGACTTAGGTCAAATAAGGGGAGAGAGGAAAAATAACCCTAAAACAGACAGTGATTACTGCAGTTGCTCAAAACTACATTTGTTGTGTAGAATTTCCATTCCAAGTATTGTTTTCATCTTCTCCATCATCTTGAGTCCTCAGTCTATATATTTTTCCTTCTTTTTTGAAGTCTTCCCCCCGCTTTTCCAATACTCGTTTCCTGACTGCTTGCCTAGGGTACAAATGACAGTGAGGTCTGACAGTTTCACTGGTAGTAATTACACAACAGAAGTGAACGCAATAAACAAAAATCACGTACCCTCCCTTCCCTGGAAAGTACCCGTCACTGAAGTGCTAGGTGGCTGCTTCATGCGAAAGAGCCAGCAAACCAAACTACCAAAGCAAACCCTGAACCGTCAAAATCAGCCTTCAGCTGCTCGAGTTTCTTTACAACTATGCTATAACAATTCAACATCCAATTGTCAAATTTTTTATCTTCCAAACACTATCAGCTGAAGTGGAGACATTTGTCATTGCAGCTGAATTCCCTATTCATAAATGAATGCAAGGCAATACTTTTTCTACCCTCTAATTGGAAATCGAAGCAAACAATAAGGAGCTCGCTTAATCACACACGTAAAAGCCAGGAAATCCTGGCTGGAGGTGCCATGCAGTTTACCAGACACCAGGTTATCCCTTTTAAGCAAGTGGAAGGGTGGTGACCAGAAACTATAAGGAGAGGGCAGCAGTTAAGAGACAGACAGATATACTTTAGTGAGACAGACACAGTTTAGTTCCCCACTGCACTATGAGAACGACTCCAGCAAGCAGTTTGAGAAATAGCCACCTTTGACAGTTTTGATTACCTGCTTTGCTCAATGCTGCTGGATGCTGAAGGATTGGGATGGTCTGGCTGATGAGCTGATCTCACAGCAGATTGCGAAGGGGGTGGACTTGTAAACAGGAAGTTGCTAATAAATCTCCAAACCGCTAAGAGGGGATAAAGTATTGTGCCCAAGAACTTCCAGAGATCACCGCCTGACGCCTGAACCACAGAAGTAGCAGGTCTTCCCGCCTGGTCACCAACACATAAAAGCAATCTTGTCAGATATCAAAATCGTGTTCTTTTAGACAGAGTATTTCATCTGTAACTTAGATGCAGCTCAGCAGACACAAGAGAACTCCTTTGGTTACACATTAGAAACATATCCATGCCAGTGCTTATTTGCTTCAGAAAAAGTCCTCCTCCAATTTAGTTCTGACAAAAATTAAAAGTAATTTTGCAATCTGTCTTAGACACAGAAAACACCAAAATTCAAGCCAGATTGCTTGTAAGAAAATGAGAATCAAACAAACCAAAGGCCAACACCTACCGGCAGCAGCACAACTGAAGCACTGGGTGCTAACTCTAGTTCCAGTAATGTCTTTCCGTAATCTTCTTTGGTAAACTCCCTTCTGGGAAACATTGTCGCCAGTGAAAAACTGCCATAAGCATTACCAACCGTCTGTGAAAACATAAAGAAATCTTTATAACAGTTCGCTTTCAAACAATTGCAGATCTGCCAGTTGAATTACCTTGCCAAGAGCTGTATATCAAACTATCACTTGTCTTCACAGAGAGCAATGACAGATTTTTTGCATCCTGCTATCTTACTAACAATATACTGCAGTGATACAAAGGCAGCTGGTGGCACTAGAGAAGGCTGCTACCAAAACCCCCTTCAAATAAATAAAAAAGGAAAGCAGCAGATGACAATTCCACCACAATCAACAACTAGTTGATGCTACATCAAGTTGTAAACAGCATGTAGCTGAGAAAACAAAGCACCAGTTTACCTGTGCAGCAAACTGCCTTGCTTCTTCTAGCCGTGCTTCAGATGGGAACTGGTTAGTAAAGGAAGATCCATCTGGAAGGCGAAACTGAATCCTGGCTATTGCACTGTAGAATACATATCGGAGACAGTCAGCAAATGAACAGTTACAGACTGAAGCTCCAGAGGCTTTAGCTTGGTAGTACAGAAGTGTGGAAGAGACAGCCAGCCATCCTGCTTATGGCAGTGCAGATGAGTTTTAAGTTTGGATCCACAGTTGATAACTACCTGTTTGTATCTTACAATTCATTTCCTCTGGTTCTTATCAGAGTCCAAGGCCCATCACCATCCAAACAAAGTATTTACAATAATCATACCAAAAAATGAGAAAGTTAACAAAATACAAGCCATCTTTTCTTTGTGTAGTCTGTATTACTTTTGATCCTTTATTTTAAGAGGTTGTACCATGAGGGCACGTATGTTTAGTCTGGCTTGGTAAGTAATTCCATACTCAACTAACTATGGCCCATCATTACTGCTTAGGTTTCAACAAAACCCATGCTTGCTCTCTGTTCTGGGGCAGAACGAGCCTCATAGTGGCTCCACAACTCAATGTAAGGTCTCTTCTAATAAGTTAGAATATTTCTTATATCAGCAGCACTGGGCAAAGCAGAAGGCAGCTCTGACACAAACAGCTGTGAATCCAAGCCACGCGTACACACAGCCATGGTTGGCACCATGCACCCCAACGCAGTTCTGACATTATCTCGTCTGTCCAGTCATTATCTACCACACTCCCACTGCACCGTTTCTCACCGAGCCCCATTATATTCGGTATTTACATCAAAGATCAGATAGAAAAATCTCTAACTAAAATAACACACAAGGAAACTGGCTAGTGTGACATTATTAGGGTTGAAGGATGAAAAGAGAACAGAATATTCATGTAAACAGCTACAAATAAATATTATAAAAGAAAGTCAACTTTTTACATCACTAGTTAAAACAGTTCAACATGGCATCCATAAGAGATTAGAACATAAGTGAAATCTCTTTAAGTTTCTTTACTTCTTTTCCCCAAAACATACACTTCAGTCTCTACAGCAACTCACCTTCGCTCCTTTTGAGCTGCTTCTTTCTTGGCCTCTATTTCAGCCCGACTAGCCTGAAGAGCTGCTGCTTTTGCAGCTTCTGCTTCTTCCTTCGATTTTGCAAAGCGAGCTGCTCTCTCAGCACGATCCTGTGAAAGGACCAAACAAAAACCTTAACTTTTAGAAGAAACTGTTGTTCAAGTTTATTAAAACAGAGAGCTACGAACTGTAATCAGCACCCAACTACACAGACATAAGCAGGCCATGTGGAGAAAAGACAGTAGTGCTGCAAAGAATCGTCCACTGCCAAACTGCACAATCTCGTGCCATTAGCCAAGATGACACTTGACATTAGCCAAGATGAGACTTTTCAATGAGACACTTTCTGTTACTGGATTATCTTCCCATACAAGTTCAACAGACAGTGAAGATAAAGAGAAAAGTCATATGACAAGTTACATAATTACAATTCCAACTGTTCTAGGCCAAAACCTCATAAGGAAGAGGGATTCAATTTATTACAAACTGTTTACATCCATATATACATATACACATATATACAAACTTAGGAAATAATCCTCCCCACCATTCTGAGATCACTGTTCTTCTGCATGTTCCATCATTAAATATTTCCTGTGCTTCCATTCTAGAGCCATGATTAAACTGCAATTATCTCAAGTAATATGACAGAAAAGTTGGTATGTTCATTTAGACAGATGAATATGAAAGCAGAAGTTTCATTTTATACATCCGAAATGCTACATAAGCCTCAAACACATAAATGGTTACGTTACAAAGCCACAGGGCTCCAACCAGAAAAATGAACAAAGTTTCATCAAATGAGAAAATTTATCGTCTTAGTACACTGGTGGCCATTGTGAGAGAGAGAAGCAGTAACAAGCTATCCTCCAAAATTAAAAATTTACCATTGCAATCTGTTGTCTTATACGCTCTCTCGCAGCCCTGTCTTCTGCCTTTTCTCTGTTCCTTTCCTCTAACATACGTTTTGTCAATTCTTCTTCCTGTCGCCTTTTGTACTCCAACATTTCTTTACCAGTTTTTCTCCGTTCAATTTCTTTCTTAATTTCTTTCTGAATAAACAAGAGACATTAGAATTGGACCACAAAACTGCCTCAGAGAAGAGTAAGATGAGACTGAACTACATTAGTTTAAAAAGGAAGTACGCATTTACTCAAATAAGGATATAAGAAAAATAGCAAGTGGCTTTACATTTTCATTTTACCTGTTCTTCTTCTTTCCTTTTCTCTTCTCGTCTTTCTTCAA